ACCTGGCTCATCTCACTAAGGCCAAATGTGATGATTCCATAGAAGACGCCTAGATGGACCAGGCTTGCAAGTGAGCTGGACTGGGGATGGAGTGTGCAGAAGCAGGTAAAGACTGGGTGAGAGGCAGGCTTGGGGAGGCCAGGGGCATGTAGAGCCATGGCACAGAGCCCAGAAGCACATATCTGATATGTGACTGTCAGGGCCCCAGGATCCATGTCCGTTGTGCATATGGTCTGTGAGTCAGACACTGTAGCAGGTGGGACCAGGAATGAGCAACTACTAGCAGGAGGTCGAAGATCTGGAGGAGAGTTTCTTGTGAAGAGACATGGAGATGTTTAATAAGGCATCTGTCACCTCTATGAGAGCTGCAGATAGAGGATCTGCCATTCAGAGAGAGAAAGTAGATGGTGGAGCCAGGATGGAAACAAGGTCTTTCTAAGTCCAAAGTGGACCTCCATTTCATGTTTTGTACATGCCCCGCTCCTCTTCCAAGGGAACAACACAGTGGGAAAGTCATGAGAGAATTGCATGGATTTGGGGGTTGTAGTGAGGTACAATGACAAAATGATGACAACAGATCAAGCTTTAGGGAGCTGAGAAATAGGAGAGCTGTTCCTCTCTCTCTTTAGGGGATTGGGTCATGAGACATCCTTTTCTGAGCTCCTCCCTTGGCCAGACACAGAGAGGATGCACAAAAATGTTTATTGCCCTAGAGGAGATCACCCTTTCTAAAGCCTTCATTTTATGTATGTGAAAACTGAGGCTCAGGGACCCAAAGTCATAGCAAGAGAGTATCAAGTCTCATCCAGGAGCCAGGACTCTGTTACCAGGTGGGGCTCAGACTTTTGCAGCAGAATGGCTGCAAATATAACCTCCGCTCTCACTGCTCATCAGCAAGGGCCTTGGATGAGGGCCTGTTCTCTGACTCTCAACTTCTTCGTCAAAGGGGCATAACCAGCCCTAGCAAGGCTATGTGATGATAGGAGATGAGGTATGTAAAGGGCAGCATCAGGTTGGACATTTAATGGCTGGTCTTTCTGTCCTCTCTTTGGCATGGAACTGACTCTTACACAATCCCAACATTATCCTACCAAAGAAATAGCCCCCTAACAATATTGCTAGCAGTCCAAGGTAACAAAAACACCCACATAAGATGTAATTTAAAAAAAAAATCACTTTTCTAAACCACAAAATAAAAGTAAAATAATCCAGAATGTTCTGATTTTTACCATGATTCTATATCAATGCTTTTTAAAAACATCAAGTACTGAATTCTTTCAAAAACATTTTTTGTGCTTCTATCTAGGGTATGCTATGCATATGATTTGTCTGTTGCACACGTCTTCTCTGCCAGGAAAGCAGTTTAGGGAAATGTAGAGTTTTAGAACCATTTAGTTGATCACTAAGATCTCAACTGATTGGTCTGTCTTGTAGTCCTAAATAGGTGGGGCAGCCTGGGTGCATGATTGAGTTATTCCTGGCTCAAAGTAGGTTGATGATGCAGCCTTTCTGATAGTCTGGGTCTAGTTCTATCACTACTTGCTCTGTGATGTTGGGAAAATCTCAGCCTGTTTCTGAGCCTCCTTCCTGTGTCCCCATCTATATAATAAAGGAATTAGATAAAAATAATGCAATCACTAAGGCTTCCTTCATTCTTTTTTTATGATTCATCAGCAAAATGAGGAAAAGTTGAGAGAGCCGCATTTCTCACTCCTGTGTCTGCAGCACCAAGCTCCTGGGAAGGGTGGTGGTGCATTATTAAACAGAAACAATCACCACCCCCAACACTTCCCTGAAAGTACTTCAGATCTAGGGGAACCATAGATACATAAGTAGATCAGGATAATCCAGTGTGATCATAATGGTGACAAAGGGAATGCCAATGGAGCTTTTAACACCCGAAAAAGAGGACAGAAGCCAGCCAAAGCCAGCAAACTCCTTTTGGAGGAGGTAAAATTTGAGCTGTATTTGGCAGATGCACAAGGCAAGAGCAAGAAGTTGCCATTGGCTAGGAAAGGGAGAAATAAAACTGCAAAAAGATGAGCTTTGAATGGCAGGCCATGGCATCATCTTCCCCCATGAAAATCATGAACCCTGGGTGGGATCCAGGACACTGGCTATGAATTTGTTGGTTGACCTTCAAAAGATACTCTCTATTTCTGGACTTCAGACTCAGCATCTGTCTCACCTGCTGTTTAATAGAAGTGAGGCAGAAGAGAGGAAGAAGAGTACGTTTAGACTTGCTTCTGTATTTCTGCCCCTCAGCCCTCAGTTCAGCCTTACTCAGTGACATTCAAACCAGAGAGGTCTTTTGTGAGCTGCTCAGGTAAATGTAGTTTGCATTTCTTTGGGTGTTAGAAAACTAGGTGATGGGCTTGGCTTTTGGCCAGTCTTCACCTCTGTAAGCCATCACTGTACTGATTTATAACACCATAGATTGCTTTTGCCTATCAGTTAACATCAATTAAATCACACGGCATATACTCTTGTATATCTTTCCAGAATTAATTTTAGATATTTATTATTAATTTGTTTTTCAGGTCTCTGTTTTTCAGGTCTCATTGTTTTCAGTTGGCTGTTATACCCATCCAATAAGTTCTTAGTTTTAAATATTTGATATTTTTGTTCTAGAGTTTTTGTTTGGTATTTTAATAGATTCCAATTTTCTGCTGAAATTCTCTATTTTTAGTCCATTCTGCCAACATTTTGCTCTATTTTACATATTTATATATATTTATGTATATTTATATATACATAATTATATTTAAGCCCTTGTTTACTAACTGAAGTATTGGGATAATCTGTACATCAACTTTTATATCATATTTTCTTTCTTGATTGTTAGTCATATTTTCCTATCTTTTTCATGTCTAACCAGTTTTAATATGCACTACACATTATTTATAATACATTTCACAGAGTCTTAGATGGCATCTCTCACCTGATATATTTCTCCCTTTTCTCTGTTAGGCAGGCAGAGTAAGGGGCTGATCACTTCAAGCCACTTAATGCTGGTAGGGCTGAGTTTCAGTTGTTACAGAGTTTAGCCTAACTTTAGTTTGTCCTGTTCCTAAGGTATGGCCTTGATGGGTTTTGGACTGATAACCTGTTGCTCTTTGTCTCCTCATCCCTGAAAGACCACGGGAGATTTCTTCTTCCTTTTGGAGGGTTTTAATAGGTCCTTCAACATCCCTATCTACCCCTGCACAATGCTATGCCCTGTATATACATACAGCCTCAGGTGTTTGAGAAACATTTTGAGAAGAAGACTGGTGCATTTGTGGCACACCTCCACACACACAACACACACACACACGCGCGCGCGCGCGCCTTTTAAGCATTATGGTAACACAGGGACAGATGAGGGGCACATGAGGGCACAGAAAACCAACTAAAGCAGGTGCACCTATTAACCCAGTTCTGCCCCTAAACCTCCCAGTAGCCCACCTCTACTACCTGTGGTTGAAAAGCCTGATATCAAAAGCACAGTACCCAGAATAAGGAAAGGCAAGGACTAGGGTGCTCTCAGTAGACCCCCAAGGTCAATTAAGCCTTGGTGCTTAGGGATTACATCTCATAAATCTAATTAAAATAGAGGCATCATGGGAGGAATATGCACAGAACCCCAGAACGTTATATAAGAGAGAGCTGTCCAGAGGGGGTGAAGGGAGGGCAGGGACAAGGGGAAAAAATGAGAACCAGGACCTGTCATGTAAAGGTACAAGATCCCAATGATGAATGTAACTGTATTGTATACCTAAAATATACCAATAAACTGAATTATAAAAGAGAGAGAGAGAGAGAGAGAGAGAGAGAGAGCTGTCCATCACACTCCCCATGGGACCCAACACCTCTGCTTAGTGGCAGGAGCAAAATGAGGGATCACTGGAAAACCACACCACCCAGAAAGCCTCAGAGCTGGGCCTTCTTTCATTGGCACCACCTGCTCAACCTCCTCGAGCATACTTTTGCTTTCAATAAACTTCTTTTGCAACCTAACTCAAGTGCTAACTTCAATTCTTCATTGCCAACACCAATAACCTGGAAAAGAGGGCCTGACATGCTGCCAGACAATAGCAATGGGATCATAGGAGATTTTTATTCTCTCAGAAGTCCTTAGCCTAACTCTTCAGCGTCCATCTCATAGCCTCAGAAACCTGAAGACATTCTGTGGGAGAAAACCCATCATACATTTAAAGCATTTTAAATTTCAAATCAATTTTGAAAAATCTACTTTGATGGATAAAAGGCTTGCTGGATTCTCTCTCATCTTTGTCCTTCTGCCTGGTCTAAGTACAAGACACGCAGGAGTCCTAGCTGAGATATTCTCAGAGAAGAAAAGTGCCAGTGACTGTTAGGTCACTTTACAGGATGCTCCAAACTGTACAGTTTCACTTTATCCCTGCCTTAGTGCACTTACGTTTCTCCAATTTGTTTGAAAAATGTGATTTGTGTAATTTATTCAGGCTTTCCTAGTTGTTTCAGTGGAAGCACTGGGTGACCATGGCTTGTTACATCCTATCCAGAGGCAGAAGATCAGACACCCAGCTTAAATGGAGTCAGGAAGAACCATGACTCCAGGAATACAAGACAGGAATCAGCTTAATAAATATGTGAGCAGGGGTTTATTATAGAGAACCTTGGAAAAAGCAGCCCTTCCAATGACACATGGCGGAATTTTGAGTGAGTGTAAAAATAGAGACAAAATCTAAGGGCTTCATTTAAGGACTCTGAAAACCCGGGCCATGCACCCTAGAACCTCAGATGAGCACCAGAGATGTCTTTCCATAGCATTTCACAATATTAATTCATTAATCAAATGTTTATATGATTTTCTCAGTAAAATGTAAATGCTAGGAACAAGAATTTTGCCTTTCTTCTTCACTTTCAACACAATCACTTAAACACAACATAAAGCTTCTCAGTAGGTTACTAACTGATAAATATTTGTAAAACTTTGGGTTTACAAGATAGAAGTAAATACCATAGACCACCACCAATCTTATAGAACTGGTTTAAATAATTATGCTTATATTAACTATAAACATTATAGAATTTTTATGTCCTTTGTTTCTACGGTTCCAGATTCTCCTAGTGTCCAAATAGTCCAGCTACCTGTCTCCTCGAAATCCAGCTCTGTTTCACCATGGGGGAAACAACCTGTAATGGATCAATAGATGGCTCACCCGTCTTCTACCTTGTGGGCATACCCTCTCTTCCAGAGACCTTCTTCCTTCCTGTGTTTTTTATTTTCCTCCTCTTCTATCTTCTCATCCTTATGGGTAATACCCTGATCCTGTTGGCCGTGGTAGCAGAGCCCAGCCTCCACAAGCCCATGTACTTCTTTCTGATCAATCTCTCAGCACTGGACATCCTTTTCACCACAACCACTGTCCCCAAGATGCTCTCCCTGTTCCTGCTTGGGGACCGCTTCCTCAGCTTTCCTTCATGCTTATTGCAGATGTACCTTTTCCAAAGCTTTACATGCTCAGAAGCCTTCATCCTGGTGGTGATGGCCTACGACCGCTATGTAGCCATCTGCCGCCCACTGCACTACCCTGTCCACATGACTCCACACACCAATGCTGCACTCGCAGCCAGTGCCTGGATCACTGCCCTCCTCTTGCCCATCACAGCCGTAGTAAAGACTTCCCAGATGGCATATAACCACATTGCCTACATCTACCACTGCTTCTGTGATCACTTAGCGTTGGTCCAGGCATCCTGCTCTGACACCAGCCCCCAGACCCTCATGGGCTTCTGCATAGCCATGGTGGTGTCCTTCCTCCCGCTTCTCCTGGTGCTTCTTTCATATGCTCACATTCTGGCTTCAGTTCTTCGCATCAACTCCCAAGAAGGACGTTCAAAGGCTTTTTCCACCTGCAGCTCCCACCTCCTTGTGGTGGGCACCTACTACTCATCCATTGCTATAGCCTATGTGGCCTACAGGGCTGACCTGCCCCTCGACTTCCACATCATGGGCAATGTAGCCTATGCTATCCTTACACCAATCCTCAACCCACTCATTTATACCCTGAGAAACAAGGATGTCAAGGCAGCCATCGCCAAAATTGTGTATCTCAAGACCCAGGCTGTGACAGGTACATTGGACCTTCAAACGTAGCTCATTCTCTCCCAGGGCACCAAATAAGAATGCTTAGCATGGAGTAGAAACTCAATTCATATGGTTGAATGAATAAATTTATGAATATAAAAAAATAAAATTCAGTTAAATGACTTTAGTCCAGCACCTTCCTCCTGGTACAATAGAATTATGTTAACCTTATTTTATATTTTATGGTGCTGGAGATTGAAACCAAAACCTTGTCCATGCTAAGCAAGTCCTCTACTGCAAATCTGTACCTCCAAAGTTAATTTTCACTCTATTGTAGTCTAGGTTGTTCTACAAAAATTCTACTACTGAGTAATTCAATAAGCTTTACTAAAGCATAAAAGCAAATGTGTGACCAAAAAACCCTTATAATCAAAGTCAGACAGCAAATAAAAGGTATATCATGGAAAAAAAGATGAGTACTTAAATATACAGGTAGCTGTCAAAGTTTAGAAGAAAAGGCAACATTTCAATATAAAATGGCAAAATATGTAAGTAAACAAATTAACATTTAACCAACTATCTAAAATGAATACACATTAAAATTATGCTATTGTCATTTTTTACTTAATGATGTTTGTAAAAATCTCATATTTTGACAGTATGTATGTGAAAAAACAGTATTCTCATAACTTGCTTTCGAGGATACTGAAATACCTACCCAAAGTGTGTATGCATTGACCCTTTGACTCAGCAATCTTACTTCTAGAAATCTAATTGAAAGATTACTCGTTCATCATTAGGGAAAAGATTGAATAATCCATAAAAATATATGAGGCAACTATAAAGAGTAAAGGAGGAAGAAAGATCCAACAATATGCTCTATATAAGAGATACATTTAATCCAAAGAGATTCACAGTCATGGGAGACCAGATAAATACTAATACAATTATAATGGAGGACCTCAACACCCTATCATCACAAATAGATCAACTAGACAAAAATCAACAGTGAAATATTGGAGTTGAATCATACCTTTGAACAAAAGGACTTACTAGATATCTACAGTATTCCACCCAACAATAGAATGCACCTTATTCTCAGCAGCACATAGGACTTTCTCCAAAATAAACCACATACTAGCCCATAAAACATGCTTAAGTAAATGCAAAAGAACTCAAACTACCTCATGCATATTACCAGATTATAGTGCAATGAAACTAAAAAGCAATGGCAAAAGGAACCACGGAAATTATGCAAACATGAAATTAAATAATATTTTCTTGAATAATCAAGGAAATTAAACAATTCATAGAGTCAAACAATAATAACATATGAGAACCTACGGGACACAATGACAACAGTCCCAAGAGAGAAGTTTATAGCTGTGAATGCTCATACCACAGAAGCAGAGGGAGTCCAAATAAATAATTTAATGATGCACCTTAAGGTCCTAGAAAAACAAGAACAACATAAATCCAAAGTTAGTGCAAGGAAGGAAATGATAAAGATCAGAGCAAAGCCAGGTGTAGTGGTGCACACCTGTAATCCCAGCATTTAGGAGGCTGAGGCAAGAGGATGGGACTGAGTTCAAGTCCAGCATATATATAGTGTATATAGTGAGTGCAAGGCCAGTCTGAACTACAAAGCAAGACCTCCTCTCAAAAACTAAAATAATGTCAGAGCAGAGCTAGGAAAATTGAGATTAGAAAAATACAAAGAATCAATGAATCAAAGCGCTGGTTCTTTGAAACAAACAAAATTAACAAACCCCTAGCCAAGCTTGCAAAGAAAGAAGGAAATGACCCAAATCAATGCAGTTAGAAATGAAAAAGGTGATTAGCTCAGTGGTACCCCATCTGCCTTGCAAGCAAAAAGTCCTGAGTTCGATACCCCTAACCAGAAGAACAAAGACAACAAAAGCATTTAAAGTAAATGCATATACAAGTACCTGGTGGGGATATTTTTAAATGTTACCGGTGACTTCAAGTGATTTTTCTCCTTTATGTTTTCCTGATGTTTTATTCCCCAAAACCCCAGTGAAAATATTATTTCATCATGAAAAAAAAAAAAAGAAATGAAAAAGGTGAAATCACAATGGGCTGTGCCAAAATCCAGATTATTAGGAACTACTATGAAAATCTGTACTTTACTAAATTGGAGAAGTCAGAAGAAATTAATGGATTGCTAGATACATATAAATTACCAAAACGAAAGCATGAAGATATAAAAACCTTGAACAATCCAATAAATAAAATTGAGGAAGTAATTTAAAAAACTACCAACTAAGAGAACAGGACCTGATGGATTCACTGCCAAATTCTACAAGAAATTTAGTGAAGATTTAATGCCAATACTCCTCATATTCTTCAGTGAAACTGAAAGGGAAAGAGTACTCCCAAAGTCATTTCTGGAGGATAAAATACCTTGATTACAAAATCGGAAAAGGACTCAGCACCCCCAAAAAGAGAACTACAGGCCAATTTCTTTAATGAACATAGACCAAAAAATCCTCAACAAGATATAGGGTAAGAGAATGCAACAAATCATTGAAAAAGATGATATATCATGACCAAGTAGGAGTTGTCAAGTAGGGATAAGTAAGGATAGCTCATCCAAATATATAATACCTTACATAAGAAGAAGTAAAGACAAAAATCACATGATCATCTCAGTTGATGCACCTTAGAAAAAGTGCTTTTGAAAAACCCTTTAACAAAATCCAACATCCATTTTTCATCAAAGCATCCTGTTAAGTGGGGAGAAGAGGAAAGCTTTTATCCTAAAATCAGGAATAAGATAAGGATGTTCATATCACCACTCCTATTCAATATAATTCTTGAAACAGTAGCCAGAGCAATCAGGCAAGAGAAAAAAAATGAAAGGGCTATGAATAGGAAAAGAAGAGGTCAAATTATTATTTGCAGATGACAAGATCCTTTCTATACAGAAAGACCCAAAACGAATATTCCACTAGAAGACTCCTAGAATAACCAAATTCAGTAACACAGCAGGACACAAAGTTCATACACACAAACATTTCTGTACAACAATCATAAACTCCCTGAGAAAGAAATTAGGAAAACAATACCATTCACAATAGCATCAGGAAAAATAAAATGCCTAGAAATAAATTTAACAAGGAAAGTAAGTTTTCTACAACAAAAAATTATAGTACTCTGAAAAAGGAGATCAAAGAGGACATCAGAAAATGGAAAGATATCCTTTGTTCTTGGATAGGCAGAACCAATATAGTCATAATAGCTATACTTCCAAAGCTCATATACAGACTTAACACAATCTCAATCAAAATGCCAATAACATTTCTCAAAGAACTGGAGAAAACAATTATGAGGTTCATGTGGAACTAGAAGAGACCCATAATAGCAAAAGCTATCCTGAGCAACAAGAGCGAAGCAGGAGGCATCACAGTTCTGGACTTCAAGTTACACTACAAAGACACAGTGATAAAACAGCATGTGGGGATCTCGCTGTGTAGTAACCTAAAATAAAAATGGATCAAAGATCTAAATGCTAAAACAGAAACAGTCATCTGGAAGATAAAATAGGTAAAACTCTTGAAGATATAGTATCTTAGCTACTTTTCTCATTGCTGAGACAAAATACCCAACACTCAAAGTTAAAAGAGAAATGGTTTATTTAGCTCACAGTTTGTAGAAGTTTCAGCCCATATTTGGCTGGCTCCAAAGATGGTAGCAAAACAAGATAAGCCTCTTTCTGTCTCTCTTATTGTATCTGGCTACCAGGATTAGAGCAGTGCCAAACCAATCAGTGGACTGATTTAGTAATCACACACCCTTAATTCCAGTACCATACACTCTAGATTTAGCCACCTCTGAAAAAGACCCACCTAGGGCCGCATGAGGCTTTGAGGGGACATCTAGACACAAACTATAACACATAGGCATAGGCAAGGACTTTCTGAACAGAATCCAAAGGCACAAGAAATAATATCAAATTGGATTATATAAAATTTAAAATTTTCTGCACAGCAAAGGAAACAAGCAATAAAGCAGAGATGACCTACAGAATGGAGAAAAAATTTTGCCAGCTATTCCTTATACAGAAAACTAGTATGTAGAATATTTAAGAAACTCAAAATATTAGACCTCTATCTCAAATAAAAGACTCAACCTAAAAAAAGGGCAACTGAAATGAACAAGTACTTTTCAGATGAAGAAATACAAATGGGTAATTAATACATGAAAAAAATGTTCAACATCACTGGCCCTAGCGAAATGCAGGTTAAAACAACACTGAGATTTTATCTTACTCCAGAAAGAATGGCTATCATCAAGAAATCACACAACAACTAATGCTGGTGAGGGTGCGGGGAAAAAAGAACCCTTAAACATAGTCAGTAGAAATGTAAACTAGTACAACTATCCTGAAAATCCAGATGAAGATTCCTCAAAAAACTGAAACTAGAAATTTTATGTAACCCAGTTATTCCCCTTTTAGGTATCTTCCTGAAAAAAGTTCAAAATATCATATTCCAGTAATACATGCACACCCATATTTATAGTAGCACAGTTCAAAATAGCTACGTCATGGAAATGGCTTATATATCCTTCAGTAGATGAATGGATAAAGAAAATGTTTTATTTATTTATACACAATGGAGTCCTACTCTTCCATAATGAAGGATAGAATTGAGTCATTTGTAGGAAAATGGATGCAACTTGAGACAGTAATGTTACATAAAGTAAATCAGACACACAAACTTAAATATCACAAATTTCAAAAAAAGAGCAGAGTAAAAATTATAGAAATAGGGAGATAGATCTTTTGCAAGTGGGAAAGAGGCCAAGAGATGGAAGGAGGGAGAGAGAAGAGAGAAAGGGGATTTTAAAAAGAATTAAAATATGTTATGCATATGTACCAGCTAGCTCCCCATAAAAAATGTGAACATAACGAGATACCAGTATGTACTAATAAAAAATAGGAAAAAAAAGAAATTCATCCATTTCATCTAAATTATAGAATTTATGAATGTAGAGTTGTTGTTGTTGGTGTTTTGTAGGGTTCCTTTATTATTATTTCAGTGTCAGGACATGCCTTTTCATTTTTTTTTCCTCTGGTACTGGGGATCAAACTCTGGACCTTGTGCTTGCCAGGTAGGCACGGTGCCACTGAGCTAAATCCCCAGCCCTCTTTCATTCTTGATATTGGTGATTTGTA